TATTATTATTATTATTATTATTATTATTATTATTATTATTATTATTCACAACGCCATCCCTTGGAAGTAAGCCCACAGGGCTTACTCCCTGGTAAGCGTGCAAAGGATCGGAGCCTTAAAGCACACCTTTCAAAAGCAGAGACTCTTTTCCCTTTCCAAAATCAAAATAAAAGTTAACGGGAGCCTTTCCTATAAATTGCCTCCGTTGGCAGAAAACTCCCTTTAAAGTATTTTTTTTTAATTGAGCAGCTCGAAAGAGGGATTCTCGCGATTAAATTCAGATTCCACGTTCAATCTGTACAAGCTGAAGAGGCTGCAAATCCTCTTGGAAGCCCTTGGAAAAGATCCGGCTTCCGAACCAACCGGCGTCAGGATCGCGCTGCGCCTCTCTTGGAGGGACGGCGGCCCGCTCCCCGGCTCCCTTCCGAGGTGTCCCGCCTTACCTTTGTTTGGATCGTGGCCTAAATCGTGGTATTTATTCGCAAGCCAGTCACACTGACCAAGTAGGGAGGGGGTCCGCTTTTAAATTCTGAGGGGGGGAGAATAGAAGGGGAGAACTGAGGTCGGGGGAAAGTTGCAGGAACTTCCGACAGAAACAGAAGGGTGAAATTGGGGTGGGGGGGGTATAGAGATGGAAATTCTGCGGGTTCGTTTCGGGTCCAGTTCGAGAGGGGGGGGGACTTTTTAGAAAGCGTCCCCCTCTCCAGCGTCCTGCAAAGAAGAGAAGCCGCACGTCTCCCTCACACGTGTATTGATCTCTCGTTTGCCTCCGCCAAAGGGCCGCGGGGAAGGACACCCGCCGGACACCTGCGCCGAAGGTGTTTCTGCGCCCGCCGGTCGGGGTAAGAAGACGGGCCCGGGGAGGAACATAAAGAGGGGGGGGGGACACCGACGTGACTGAGCCGCGGAGGGCAACCAGGATCGCTCACAGACCTGGTTGGTCGGAAGCAGCAGAACACAGTTCGAGTCCAGGGGCAGCTTTTAAGACCAGCAGCGTCTAATTCTGGGGGGACGCTTTTCTGTGCATGCGCATTTTACCTGATGAAGTGTGCATGCACAGGAAAGCTTAGATCCAGAATTAAACTTTATCGGTCTGAAAGGTGCCACTGGACAGAAAAACGGTATTTGACACACAGGCGCACCCCCCAGTCAAATTCTCAACCTCTTTCACTCTAAAGATCGACGCCTTCGTAATGACTCTAAAGAAATAAATATAAGAATATAAGCATGCAGGGCCGTGCAAGCGGCCTTAAATATAGTGATCTTCCTATCGGTGATATTTTTTAAAAGGCAACAGTTTTGTGTTGTAAACCCTGGCTCTGGGCTTTCGGAACCCCTTTGCCGCCCCGCCAGGAAAAAGAATCGTTTCCTTACCAGCCAGGATAGCTTGTCCCAGGTCCGCGGACTCCAAAGAGGACTGCTGAGCTTTTTTCGTCTCACCCCCACCCCAAATCTGAAATTTACGGGGGGGAGGGGGGAAGCCGCAGTAATTTTGATTTCCCCTGGACCTTCCCAAAAGACAATGCGGGCGTTTTGTTTTGTGTCTTTAAAACACACACACACACCCCAAACAACACCCTAATGGTTCTTTATGGGACAATTTTTTTGTTTAAAAAAGTCAAGCGTTTCTCCCCCCCCCCTGAAAGTGAATTTAAACCCCTGCACGCACTCCCACCGTCACGTGGTCCAGAAATTGGGAACAGAAGCAGAGCTGACAAAAGTAAACTATGCTCAACCTCTTAATGAACCATTTTTGCCCAGACCTTAAATTTTTATATATATATATTATAAACACGCACACACAAACCAGCTGTCCAGAATTTTCTCCTTAAGGAGACCGAGGGCGAGGAGCAGATTTCTTTGCACGGTAAGGCCAACCACCTTCCTCTTCAGGAGAAAGCCTGGGTCGCTTAACCTGAGCAGGGGAGAGGCAGAAACGGACCGGGGCCCGGCGCAGAAGGCGAAGAAAGAGCAGGTGATACACGTGTAACGTGTGCAGGGCCACTCGGGTCTGATTCTTCTTCTCTAGACACGGTAAGGAAGAACCAGGCACGTGTTCGCTCCCTCACCTGTTCTCAGTCGCAAAGAGAGAATTCGATCCATCTCCCCCCCACCCCCAGGCATAGGTGCTGGCGAGGATGAGCAAAACACGTGTCTTTAAAGATCTCTTCCAGACGTTATTTTAGCGACGCCCGAGGAAATGGAAGGAAGGATGTAACTTCTCCGAAGATACCTTCCACAAGTAAGATTATTCGGGCATCGGCTTTCCTATAGCATTCAGTGTAAAGGTAACCCCTGGCCATATTTTCCTTAGAGCGGGACCCAGAAAATAATCCGTGGGATTGATCTGCACGTTTATTTGCAAGATTCATTGAACACGGGAAGATTTACTCCCGAGCAAATGTGCGTCGGCTGGGCGTTCAGGATCGCAGCCTCTCTGAAATCCCACGCAGGACGGAGTGTTTTAGGCGCGGAGGAGGTCGCGTCTGCGAAAACAAGATTCTCTTATACAGAACGTATTATATAAAATCAGTACGAGCTAATCGCGGGGGAGGCGCTCATTTATTTAACCTCATAAAATCGAAAGTTTTGGGATGATCTGTCTGGTTCTTTCAAAGTCCTTTAAAGATAATAATAATCCTTGCGTGGTCTTTTTAAAAGCAGTTTTTTGGAGGGGGGGGCAATTAGATTTAAATTTTTACAGCGTTTGAAGAAAGGAAATTTTGCAACCCGCTCCCCGAACCCCAAATTTCGCGCTCCTGGCGCGCTCCTCCCGCCCGAGCCGGGGGGCTGCTGTCCCGCGCCCCTTCCCTTCCCTTCCCCTCCCCGACCGCCCCGAGACCCTCGGAGGCCGCTGGCGACCTGCACGTCGGAGGGCAGCAGGGAGGCCACCTGGTTGCCTCGCAGGGCCGCGTTCACACGTGTCCTACTTCGATGCAGCCTAAACGCGTCTTTTAAATAACCCTCGCAAGTCGCCAAGGAGCTTCGGGTCGCTGTTGCTACCACTACGAGCTACTACTCCTAACAACAACGACGACGACACTATAGTTTCCTGGCGAGGTTTGGGGGAAATGGATCGAAGCCTCTTGTTGTTTTCCTGGCCAACTGGACGGGGATCGTCTCTCGCCGTCGCGTTGCGTTTGCTTTGGCCCGGCGCTGACTACCCCTGGGGTCTAGGGTCTCCCTAGAGTGGCCCACTTCGGGGGGGGGGGCGTCCAGACTCTCTTCTGCACCCCCAAACCGGCTCGTCTGCGAGCCCCACGTTTGTTCAGCGGGCTCGACTCCCGAGCCAGGGCGCGGAGGACCAAGGGCGCTTCGAAGGCCAACCTCGAGCCTCAGACGCAGCCGGTCCCTTGCGCCCCGGTGGCGGGGAACGTCCTCCTCCCGAGGAAGGGGAAGCAGCCCCCGGTCCCTCAACGGGCCTTGCGTGGAATTCTGCAACCCCGGCCGGCCAGCCAGCCAGCCAGCCGACGTGGCCTCCCAGGACCCGGCTGCCTCGAGGGGGACACTGCCGCGGACTTCCCGGGGTCCTTTTTCGGAGTCTGCCGCCCGTCTTCCGCACGGTCGAGGCGGAGTGGAGGCGGGAATGGGGAGTCAGCCTCCCCCCCCCTCAAGGGGATCTGGAGCGCTCAGAAAGGGGGGAGAGGGTCTCTGTTGGGGGTGGGTTCTCCCCTCTCTCTCCTCCCTGAGAAACCGGTCCCCCAAAGGATCTTTTTGCGTTTGGGGGGGAGAGATGTGAGATTGCACATCCTCCCTGCGCGGATGCAAATCTCTCTCGGTAGCAACGGGCGGCGTCCGGGAACACGGGGCAGCAGCAGCCGGCCAACATTAAGGTGAAAAGATGGATGCTGGACGGGTCGACTTAGCGTTACAAGGAGCGACGTTCCTAACACCCTGGGGGGGGGGGGCAGGGAGAGCAGGCGAGGACCC